ATGAGACCCTAGCTTAAAAAAATACACAAACAGATAAATAAATAGCAAAGATTAAAAACACATCACAAATGTATTTAGAGACACCCAATTCAAATTAAATGCTGCTAAGTCTTAACCAGTTCTCTCCAACCTCAGACTCTCCTTTCTCCTTTCTCCTGGTCTCTGAAGTAGACGGCATGGGCAATCCGAACTTCCTGTATTAACAATACTGTTTTATCCCACACATCCCTTTAATTCCTCCTATTCTATGCCGGGTCATTTACACACAGCACACACTGCTTTTAGTTCAGTGGCTGGGATCCATGTCTGAAGGCCTGCGCTCTGCTTTCTCATGTGATGGGAAAGGTGGTCCTCTTTTATAAAGACAACAATCCCTCACGGCTTGCTCACATCTGTTAAAAGATAGGATCTTTTAACGCTATCTCAATGGGCACTAAGGGCCAACACAGATATTGTGCACCATGGTTTGAGTGATGGTGTGCCCACATTTCCCATTCCTCCTGTGGTCACACAGACCTACAGACAGCTACTGAATTAGTACACGTTTGGCTGATATCTTTCCCTGCACTCCAGTTGTCTACAATGTATTGTCCACTCAATTCCTAAGGAAGAGGTCATGGGAACTATTATGTACTATTTGGGTCCTCCCAGAACTCATGGTGAACCCTAGCCCAGTGTGTGATGGTAGAAAGTGGGACCTTTGGCAGGTAATTAGGATTGGATGAGGTCATAAGGGTGGGGTCCTCACGAAGGGGATTAGTGCCTTACAGGGATCACAAGAGCATGCTTCCTCTCTGACTCCCAAGTCAGGACAGAAGATAGCATCTGTGTACAACCAGGAGAAGTCGCTTGGCAGACCCAACCATGCTACCCCTGGTCTCATACTTCCAGCCTCTAAAACAGGTTAAAAAAATCACTCTCTGGTCTTTACGTCATCAGCCTGTGGTCCAGCAGCACAACAGAGAAAGTCTCCCTGCTTCCCTCCCAATCACTGAGCCTTTTCCACTCAGAAGTCAGGTTTGTGTGACCTACCATCGTTCTTCGCTTCTGTTTTTCAAGTATCTCTGCTCATACTTTCCCTCTCCACCAAATGATGCTATTGAGAAACTCATCCTGTGTAAAACATCTGCTCTTTTCCTTCTAGGACCGCAAAGCATTCTTCACCTTGCCTTGCTGTCACGTGGTCAGCATTCCCAGTGTGCAATGTGCCTGGTCCACGGGGAATTTCATGGTTTACTTTCAGGAGTGTTTTCTTGGTTTGACTCAGTCAGCCTCCCCGGTTCATTCTCTTTTTGATCTAAAAACATCTTTGCTCAGCTCAGTACTTGGTGCTTTCTATTCAATCGTTATTTTTATAATATTATCACCAATTGCTATTTCTATGAAGATATTTCTTGCTTCAATTTTCATTTCTGGAGCTTTTCTTTTTATTTACAATTCTTTTCTGAATTGGCCTCTCATTTCCAAATGTCCTAATTATGGTTTTATGACTGGGATGATGGTTTAGCAATTAAGAGCACTGGCTGCTCCTCCAGAGGACCAGGGATCAATTCCCAGCACCCACATGGCAGCTCACAACCACTTACAACTCCATTCCAGGAGACCATATACTCAAGCACACACACATAGCCATAATACATAACTGTTTAATTATGGTTTAATGTCTTATGTAATTTTCTTAATGTCAGTTAGTTTTTATTTCAGGACACGTTCTTCTAGAGTGTGTTTCTTGTGTATTAGGACATTATTCTATTTCCAATCATTTTTTTCTTTTCTTTGTGTATGTGAGAGAAAGCGTGAAGAGAGAAAGAGAGGAAAGAGAGAGCCCAAGACCCCTAGCCTATATAGCCCAGGCTGACCTCAAATTCATGATCCTTTTGCCTCAGCTTGCTTAGAGTGAGGAGTGTAGCACACACTGGCCTCTTCCTCCTGACGCCACTTCCTGTGAGCTTGCCCTCCTCCTAATCCGTAGGAATAAATCAGGTAGTTCTGGCTCCCTCTTCTGTTGTCTGGATGAAGTGTTGAAACATGTCTGGCATTCACTCCGAGACTGCTGACCCTTTTCCTTGTCTCTGTACTGTTCACCTTGGTTCTGTCCTCGGCTCTGTCCTCGATGGCTGTTGCTGGAGGGCTTCTCTCCAGGTTCCCCAATCCCCGCAGTCCCACAATCCACTTATAAAATAATCACTCAGACGCTTATATCACTTATAAACCGTATGGCCGTGGCAGGCTTCTTGCTAACTGTTCTTTTATCTTAAATTAACCCATTTTTATAAATCTATACCTTGCCACGTGGTTGGTGGCTTACCAGAGTCTTTACATGCTGCTTGTCCTGGCAGTGGCTGCAGTGTCTCCCTCCTCAGCCTTCTGCTTCCCAGAATTCTCCTCTCTCCTTGTCCCACCTACTTCCTGCCTGGCCACCTACTTCCTGCCTGGTCACTGGCCATCAGTGTTTTATTTATATAGAATGATATCCGCAGCAGATGGCTTTCACCTGGCATGGGGCCTTGAACTAGACAGCAGCTCTGAAGGTGACTGTCCAGAGTTCGAAGGCCCGGCCAGCTGCTGGCATCCCTTTCCTGAACTCTGTGCACTTACAAGTGGTAGAATGGACACCTTCCCCCATCTGCAGCTGCTGGTTCCAAGCAGCCCAGGGTTTCATGGGAAGACACGGTGCTCTGTGGGCTGCAGGCAGAAGCTATGGCTCTGATGCCTTTCTCTCCCTTATACAATAATCTCTTGGCTGCTGGGATTTTATTTTCAACTGCTGGCATCTGAGGTTCGTCTGTGTGGTCACCTGATTGTGGAGGATGTTGTCTGTGAGTTCCTCTTTTGCTCTCTAGTTTCTCTACAAGATGGTGAAGCTCTGAACTCAAGCTGGTCTTTGCTTCCCCTTGGCTCCTTCCTCAGCTGGTCTTGTGCCTCAGCTTTGTAAATAGGCCTTGTATTGCAGTGTGCTGGGAGGGAGCTGCGTGAAGAAGGGGTCATGTGTGAAGTTCTGTTATCAGAGTTCATCATGAGGGGAACCTGAGAGAAACACTTCTGAAGAGAGTTAATCTTCACCCACAGTTTGAAAGGCTTTCGTCTGTGGCTGGCTGGCTTCATGCTTTCTCAGTTCATGGTGAGGGAGAGCATCATGACAGAAGAGCTGCTCATAACTGCACAGTCAGGAAGCAGAGAGAGGCAAGGAACAGTGGAGAGCTGTGGCCTTCAAAGGTTACACACACCCACATCAACCCACTCCATCCAACCAGCCCTGACTCCTAGTCTCCATCACCCTCAGTAATGCCACCAAATTACACCTCCATCCACAGATCAGAGCTCTCATGACCCAATCACCTCCTAGTGGCGAGATCCACCAGCTGGGGACCAAGTTTCAACACTTGAACCTTAGAGGTACTTCAAACCATGTGTTACTAAAAGAGGTTGAGTTGCAACATTGCAGTCTCCCCCCTTAGCTTAGAACCAAGAACCCAACATACCTGTGCTCAGGACCCCAACCACCTTGCTTGTGGAGCAGCTCCTGGGTGCTTGCCACGCAAATGAGTGGATCCTCTTCTCAGGACCTTCATGTCCCTATCTGCTAAACTGAACACTCCCCTGGCCACAGAACTGTGTGAGTGGTACGGAGACTGTGAGGAGGTGAGGTCGCAGAAGCATGTGTCACCTGTCCACCATGGCCTGCATCCTTGAAGGCAGAGCTAAGCATTCCCCAAGCTGCCCCTCCCTCCACATCCTGGAGAGCAAGTGTCTGACACCTTCTGAGCACTGGAGGGTCACACCTTGAAAGGAGGACTAGAAGCCCTACCATGGGATCATTAATTTAAAAGGACCCCGAGCCTCATCAGCAGTGACAAGGGTTAATGTGTCCATGGTTGAGGGCTACCCTCAAAACAGACCCTTCGCATAGAAGAAATGGCCTTCACTTCAAACGTCAACCAGCAGAAGACGTGGAAGGGCTGAGTGTTTAAAATGCATTTTTTATTATTCAGCCTTCAGCAGAAATGTCACCTTTCTAAGGCAAGCTGTTGCCATGCGCTCCCCGTGCCAAACGGGTGCCTCTGAGGAGCAGGATTTGATCTCCGCATTTCTAGTGATTTGTGTTTCTCTTTCAAGGAGCTCCATGCCTTAAGGCACCTGCGACACTCACAGTGCAAGAAGGTAAGTTTGCAGGAAAAGCCAGCTCTGAAGCATGAAACAGGGGCTCTGCCGAACAGGCCGGGAGCACCATCAAAGCCAGAGCCCACAGTGCCCTGCCCAGTGATCCAGGTCCCCTCTGTGCAGCGCATTGTTTTCTGGTGAGCACCATGGTTGAAACCATATTCTCAAAGAAACTCTGTTTTGTCACAAGGCCCCCATCCGCAGGCTCGGCCACATGACAGGCCCAGAAGCAGCCAGCACAACTGCCGGCGACGCTTGCCAACAAGCCAGATGCTGCCACACATTGGCATCTGGGTCCTGGAATAGCAAGCATGTTCTCAGTCTGGCTAGGGATTCTGACCCCAGCTTCAGAAGGAGACAAAAAGCAGAGAAGGAAGAGTGGGAAGGAGGGGGAGATCGGCCTGAGGAAGGGTCTCTTGGTAATTTCCCACTGTGCCTGTAGAACCTCACCTGACAAAAAGCCTCCCTGGAAAGCCGCTGCGGGAGCTGCAGGGGGCGGGAGAGGTAGAGATGGGGGGCTGCTCTGGCACCTGGGGAGTGGGGGTGGCTGATTCTACAGGAGACAGCTGCAGCAGGCAGCCTTCTCTCCCTCAGCCATGATAGCCCGCGGTGGGGCTAAGCTTGGGGACATGGCTCCAATCTGCAGCAGAGGGATGGAGTGGCAGTGTCCATGGCTGTCGATCCTGCTCTCTAGGTGCCAAGGCTCCCCAGTGCCAGCAGGACCGACAAAATGAAGAGAGTCAGCCAGTCCCTAGACTGTAGAGAGCCTCACAATCAGAGAAGGTGCAGTCAGAGGGTTCTGACCTCGGACAGGCTGAGGGAGGAAGGAAGTGCCTTACCTGGCAGCGGCTCCTGGTTCAATGAAGGCTTCCATCCTGGGCGGTCGGTCACACAGATGGAGGCTGGGCTCGGTGTAGGGTGGGAAGTAAAACAAGAAAGCGAAAAGCAAGCTGCATTTCTTTCCCAAAATAGCAAATTCTACCCAGCATTCTCTTGACTCTATTTCTGTGCCTGAGCCCTAGGAGGCAGCCTGTGTTCAGAATCCCAACCGTAGATGCAGAGCCAAACACTGTCCCAGGAGCATCCTTCTGGGGCTGGGCACCACAGCCCCTACCCAAACCTACCTGATGCTCCTCCGGCCATCACTGGTGAAACTGCAAAGCACTTCCTTCCTATGGTGTCTCAGGCAATAGTGTCATTTGGAAAGGCCCGTGTTACTAGTGTCACGGCTGAGTCGGCACAACACAGACATACGAAGTAACTTCTCACGCTGACACCCTCCTGGCTTCTGTTTTCTGTGTAGTTGTTTTTATAAGGCAGGGGCTCATATAACAGAGACTGGCCTGGAACTTCAGATCCCTCTGCTGCAGGCTCCCCCAAATCCCTCCTATTGCAAACAAAATTATCTGAACATTTTACAGGGGTTTATCAAAAGTCAAGTGTGTGCGTGTATAATAAGTAGTCTCAGCTGATATATTCTGAATACCTTATAAAATATTCTTATAGTAAATGGTTTTAATTGGATCCTCTATATCCCCCCCCCATACACAGTCTCAGGGCTAGAGAAATGGCTTATTCCTAAAGTGCTTATTGTTCAAGCATGTGGATCCCCAGACCCATGTTAGGCCCAGTGTGGTGGCATAGGCCTGTGATCCCAGCTCTGGGGGCAGGTACAGGAGATCCCTGGGGCTTATTGATCTGTCAGCCTAGCCTAATAAGTGCCAGGTTCAGTGAGAGACTCTGTCACAAAAAAATAAGGTAGACAAGTCCAGTGAGATCCATCCTAGGACATCTGATGTCTATGCCATCTACTGTGACAGTGGCCTGTGAAAATAGGAGCTGTCTGTCAAAGCAACTGTGGTGACGTGGCTGACCTCTTTGTGGAAGCAGACACTCTCTGCCATGTGCTCTTCTTAAAGGCATATGCTACCAGGGCCCAGCTTGGCTTCCTCTTTATCCAGCTGCCTACTTGTCTCCTATCAATCACCCTTTCCCGTTGATATGAGGACTGTCTGGGCCAATTCCATGGAAATGTCACAATGTCTTCAAACTCAGAAGGTGCGCCCAGGGTAAGGAGCTCCCACCCATCCTAGGCCGAGTGAGACAGACTCTCCTGGAAATGTGCTACCATAGTGCGGTGGGATGGTGATGAAGACCAGACCCAGCCTTTCCAACTGTGCCCCAGGCTGTTTTCCTTAAGCTATAGGTGTAGATGCAGTTTCACCTCGAAGAAGAGTTGCAAGAAGAAAATTCACCAATGACCCAGGACATTTTTGAGAGCCACTGAGCTAAACCAAGTTATGTCAAAGGTCTGAGGCGAAGAGCGAAGGAAACCAAGAACAAAGGTCAGGATATTATTGAAACAAAAAGCAAACTGACATCATAAGAGCAAAATGCTGAGGCCAGGGGACCAGGGCTAGGGGCTCTGAATGGTGGAGCATCATTAGCAACCACAAATACACTTGCTTGGTTTTCTCTGAGGACCTCAGGGTGATGCTACAGAGACCCTAGCTCCGGGTACTATTTTCTAGAAGAAGGCAATTACTTGGTGAGGAAGTTCTAGACTTGGAGGAGAAGGAATGGAATCTCTCCTCCACATTCTCCCCTCGCTCAGGATTCTGCCTCCAGCCAAATTTCTGCAGTGGACCCTAACTACACTCCTGCCTCTAATCTCCTTTCCTCAAACTTCTCTAGTTTACCCCTAAAATTAACTCTCCAGCAGTAGCTGTCACCCACACCAGCTACTGAGTCCCCCACAACCTAGACCGTGACATCCCATGTCCCAGCATGGCCTTTAACTCAGCCCACGGACCCCCCCACACCAGCTCCATTCACCTGGCCTTCTTTAGTACACAACAGATTCTCTTTCAGGTCCCCTGGAGCTAGAGTTATGGACGGTTGTGAGTGGCGGACGTGGAAGGAATCAAACTCAGGTGCTGAGAGCAGAAGCAGAGCACTTTCAGCACCTCTGCAGCCCATCTGGTCATAGTCTTCACAGCTGTGTGACCACCAAGGGAGGTGCTACTGAGTGGGTATGGCAGCAGCCAAGCCTCTAGGAGTAACAGGAAGATAGTTACAAGGAAACAGTGAGGTACCAGTTCAGGGTTCTTGCTCACCTTGCCTTCTAAAACGTGGGATTATCGTACCCGTTCACAGTGGGAACAGAACCACCACGCTATTACACAGCTCAGGGCTCGCCCGCTTCTCCCTCTGCAGTAAGAACCCACAACGGTGCATCTGACTGAAGTTAAAGGCCAATTAGCGAGAGACACAGCCAGGATGCCAAATTCTCTACTGTACGCCATAATCTTCGAGGAAATACCTTGAAATGCCAGCCTCGATCACCCACAGCATTTACAAAGCAGAAACCAAGTCTTCGAGAGATACGTGTGAGCCCAGGAAGAATGGCAGGAGAGGCCCTTGGAAAGCAAGTGCTTCTCAGCACTACGGTCAGATTTCTTTAGCACTGCCAACTTGTGGAGCAAGGCTTGTGGGGCTCTAGTATAGTGCTACTGCCCCCCCGCCCAAGTGTACGCGTGCCATGAGAGATAACCCATTCTTGGTTCCCACTGACCCTGAAGTAAGTACAGATGGGAAAAGGTTGAAGGGAAAACCTGACCAAGTTGGAGCTATTTAAAAAATGTTTGAATAAATCTGGGGAGATGTCTCAGTGGGTAGAGGTCTTGTCACATAAGAGTAAGGACCTGCATCCAGATCCCCAGAACCCACGAGAAGCTAGGCACAGTGGAGGGCAGCCGTTTCCCAGGGCTCCTGTGCTGAGGATGAAGACAGAAACAGACTCCCAGAAGCTTGCATGCCAGCTAGCCTGGTGTACACAGCAAATAAGACCTGTCTCAAACAAGGTGGAAGGTGAGGGGCATCTCTAACTTCCACAAACCCACACGAACAAAATGCACATACAGTATACAAACTACACAAGGCAGTCTGAACAGATTACCAAGATCCCAGTGGACCCCTACAAAGAACAGCAGCTACCAGAGGGAGGTGATAGTCAAAGAAACATGATTACCCACATGATTACCACCAAGCCTGACTCATAGTCGAAAGTGGAAAAAGATGGAGAATATTCTCATGCAAAGACACAGTAAGGACTTACGCGGATGCATGTCCATAAGTTTCACAATGTACACAAGTAGCCAAACATCATATCAAAAATACATAATTACCTTTCAATTAAAATAAAACCTGTAAGAGTTTCATTATTATTGTTAAGTAAATCAAAAAATATTTGTCTCAAATAATACAAGCTCATGTCACAATGTCAGGAAACTTCTCCCATGGTGACATTCTCAGATGGTGTTCTCTTTGCTTTTTGGAAACCTCAGTTTCCACCTGTTGGGTGGAGTCAGTGATCACCATATCGTAATGTGAACCACTGACAATCTGTCTGACAAAGCCCTCTAGAAGAGCAGAGAAAAGTTAACACTAGGGATTCCAAGTAAAACCATAAAGTCACGGGGAGAGAGACACACAGGAACCTGCATGTCCAAGTTCAGGACACCATCATTCAAAACAGCCCAAAGGTGAAACAATGTAAGGTACCCGAATAGACAGACAGTTAAGTTAAATGTGGTAAGCCCATAATGGAGCACTATTAACAAATGGACTGTCAGCCAGGCTAGGGAGAACAGGCCACCAAGATCACAGCTCGGTCAAGAAGACTGATCCCCTTAGGGCTGGATTTCACTCACCAGGAGAGTCACTTAACCAAGTGTGATATATACACGAAGTAGAGTATGAGTCAGTCTTTAACAGGTGATGGACACAATCCATAGCATGGATGGGCCTAGGAAATGGCACATAAGTAAACAGACACACAAAACCACACAGTATATGATTCCACTTCCAGGAAGTACCTACCACATAGCCCAAGCTCTGAAGACCAGGAGCTGGGGAGAGAAGGAACAGGAAGTGGCTGTGGAACAGATAATGCTTTCGGCTCAGTTCTGAAGAGACAGTGGTGATAGCTACACAGAGATTTAAGCGTGCTACACATCACTTCTGCATTGTATGCCTAAAACTGGCTGAAGTAGGGCTGGGGAGATGCTCAGTGGGCAAAGTGTGCCACACAAACGTGAGACCCAAGTTCAGATCTCCAGATCCCACGTGAAAACACAGGCAGCATGTGCCTGTGGTGCCAGCACTGGAGACAGGATCCCTGGGGCTCACTCACAGCCAGTCTAGACAAAAAGGTGAACTCAAGGTTCAGGGAGAGATGCTGCCTCAAAAAATACAGTGGAGAGAAACCAAGGAAGACACTGTGCTGGATGGTTTTATGTCAACTTGACAAAGCTAAAGTCATCAGAGAGGAGGGAACCCCAATTATAAGATGCCTCCATAAGATCAGACTATAGGCAAGCCTATAGAGCATTTTCTTAATTAGTGCCCAGTCCATTGTGTGTGAGGCCACCCCTGGGCTGGTGATTCTGTGTTCTCTAAGAAAGCAGGCTGAGCAAGCCATGGGAAGCAAGCCAGAAAGCAACACTCCTCCATGGCCTCTGCATCAGCTCCTGCCTCCAGGTTCCTGCCCTGGTTGAGTTCCTGTCCTGACTTCCTTCTATGATGAACAGTGATATGGAAGTATAAGCCAAATAAACCCTTTCCTCCCCAGTTTACCTTTTGGTCATGGTGCTTTGTCACAGCAATAGAAACCCTAAGACAGACACCTAGTGTCAACTCCTGACCTTCACACACATGTGTACATGCACATGTGAGCACACACACATTCATTCAAAATGACTACAATGGCAAAATTTACTTTTACTCTCAAAAAAAAAAAAAAAAAAGATTTGAAATACCAAGCGGTAATTTCTTTTATGGTTTTGACCATATTCCAACCCTCTACTTGAGCCAACAAAATATGAACTACAACAAAGGCCAGTCTCACTGGAACTTCAAGCATGTATATAGCATTGCCTGAAAGATGGGCTTCACCCACAGCCATTTATCCCATTTTATCTCTAAAATAATTTGTGTCCAACATGAGTGATGTGTTTACACTATGAACAAGCCACAATCACACATG